CAGAGGGCTGCTGCACCAGCACCCCACACCCCGATGCCCAGGCCTTCCCACAGTCAGATTTTTCTGAGGAAAGAAGTTGTATTTGTGAAAAGGGAAAGCACCTCGATGCATCAAATATGTAGGAACTTAACCCACTTCTTTTTATTAGTCAGCCCCATCTATAACCTGCCAAAATGTGCTTTTTAGTTTAGTTCTAGCAAATGTGGTCATCAGCGCTAGAAACCGATATCCTAAAGTGATGGCAAAAGAAACAAAGCTCTGTCCACAGCTGCTTTATTTGTAACGTTCAAATCCAGGCAGAGGTTCATATTTCAAAAAGCTTCAAAATTCAGGTGGTGATCATGGCCATGTCAGATTTCCATATACCTACATGTAGATACAGACTATATATAGCATATGTATATATAGTTTCTGCTGATAGCGTATTCGCACACCAAATGCTAGAGAAGCAGAGTTGGTTCTATATACAAAAGCATAAACGATGACAGAAGAGATGGAATACACTTATTTAAGCCAAGCTGCGTAGCAGAGAAACATATTGAATTTTTGTCATGTGGGTGGCTTACGTTTTGTTTGCTTTTGGCCCCTAAGATGCTCAAAGACACACTGATAAAATCCACGCACGTAGAGGAAAATGTCCTTTTCACCGTTGCTCACTATCTTGATTAAACACAGAGAGAAATGACTTGCTAACAAGGCTTAAACTGGAGTCCTCTCTCCAGTTACTCCATGTACTCATTTTATCCCTACCAACGTAGGCAACAGCTCAACCTGCACGTCTGGCAGCCAGGACTCGGGACGCCTCCAGTGCTGCCCTGCCAGATGGGCACCCAGCAAAGGGTGCTGGGGCTGCACCACACACCCCCAGACTTTGTCACCCCGACGTCGAACGCCAAAGTGCTGAGGAGAGAGAAGTGGAGGAGACCGAACACCGCCAATCTCCTGCTCAGCCCTTCCCTGCGAGCACAGCAGCATTCGTGGCCATGAGGACCAGCCCCTGCCCTCACGACGAGGGTCTGCACTGGTGCCCAGCCCTCGGTCACAGCCCCCTTCTGCACGTGCTGCAGCCTGCACGGCCCTGGGTGCGCAGGGGCAGGTTGTAGCCAAGCTGTGAAAAGGCAGCTCAGCGGAAAGAAAAAGCAGCTTCAATCAAAGCCTGAGCTTCTCCTGCTCCCAACTGCTCAGTTAAAAACATACTGCCTGTGCGCATAGCATCTTGACCTTCCTCAAAATAATAATAAAAAAAAAATAATCCAGAGACCTTGCTAGGATGGAGGCATTTGCTCTTTTCTTTTCTCCAGTGACACAATGCACAGTATTTCACACCAACAGCCAAGCTAGCCATTCTTCCCAGGGAGTATTGATGTCTAAGCAGCATGCGAGCTGAGGTGAACCAGTTACCACAGCTTCAAGGATCAATGGAGCACGCTGCCTCCAGTTCGTAAGTCAGCAGATCCGCCAATTATATCCTTGATCTGTCCTGACTTCAAAGGGAAGCTACAGCCTAGAAGCAGAGCAGGCAACTGAAGAAAGAAGTTGTACTTGTGAAAAGGGAAAGCACCTCAATGCATCAAATACAGCTGGAAGGGACCTACAACGCTTACCTAGTCCAACTGCCTGACCACGTCAGGGCTGACCAGAAGCTAGAGCGTGTTGTTAAGGGCAGTGTCCAAATGCCTCTTGAACACTGACAGGCTTGGGGCATCGACCACCTCTCCAGGAAGCCTGTTCCAGGGTTTGACCACCCTCTCGGTAAAGAAATGTGTCCTACAATCCCACCTCAAGCCGCTCCCAGGCGCCCTGTCCCTGGATCCCAGGGAGAAGAGCTCAGCACCTCCCTCTCCACGTCCCCTCCTCGGGAAGCTGCAGGGAGCAATGAGGTCGCCCCTCAGCCTCCTCTTCTCCAAACCAGACAGACCCAGAGTCCTCAGCCGCTCCTCACAGGACGTGCCTGCCAGCCCTGTCACCGGCTCTGTTGCCCTCCTCTGGACACATGCCAGGACCTTCACATCCTTCTGAAATTTAAAACACAGAGCTACATGTTAGAGTTGGAAAAAGTCTAACAGCTCACTGTTCCTCCTCCTTTGCCTCTATCATGCTCTTGTTTTTTTCTTCCCCCTGTGTGCTTTGTTGAGCCCGCTCAACTCACAAACCCAGCAGAGAACGACTAACTTCTTCCTGGGTCCACAAGTTGCATTGGTTCCACTGAACGTGAGAGCTTACACAAAAAGAGATTATGACCATGTTGTCTGCAGCAGGAGAATCATCCGATCTCAGCACTCAGAGCTGACAGATTAAGTTAAGCTGCAACATGCAAAGTCACCTTCAAGCTTGTTCTCAAGAAGACTAGCAGGAAAAGCTGGTAACATTCAGTTACAAAATATATCAAACATCAAACTGCATCAAACTCCGCTACAAACGCTAACAATATTTAGCAGACATTAAATCATTCAAGCATCATACAGTGCAATTTTCTCACAGCAGAAAGAAAACATTCTCCTGATACACATTTCACCATTGAAGCTCATTTATCATTCCTTATCAGCCTAAGAACTAAAAGCTTCTGTACTGTTATCTAGCAGAAAAGGGTTTATATCAGAAATTTAGATTCTGGGCAAAACTTTTGGCACTGCATCCCTCCCTGACTTCTACTCTAAGGAAATGAGCAAGCAGCACTATCTAACCAGATCATCAGAAATGGAAATGGCTGGATTAAAGTAGCTCAGACAATTACAGGAATGAAAGTCAAGAACAGAATCAAGAGCAACCCGATCCAGTTGGTCGTGAGGAATCTCTAAGCATTCACAGGCAGTCAACCCAGCAGGCCTGAACAAAGTAGCCACCAGTTAGCAAACTAATGCATTTCTTCACAGAAAAGGTAAGCTTGCTAGTGATCAACTGAAATACTATGAGAATTGTTTTTTAGAAACAATTATGATATTCCTAAATCTGAAAAAAAAAAGGTCTTTTATCCTATATAAGAATAGCTGTACCATGTTTTAGTGTTTTCAGCATGTTTTTAGCCTGTTTTAGTGTTCAACCACCTGCACAGTAAATTTTTTTTTTTTTAAATGTTCAGATGGAATTGCCTCTTGCCTTGTCACCGAGCACTACTGAGAAGAGCCTGCTCCATCTTCATTATACCCTTCTCATGCAGGCAGGAACTTTTCATATTTATATAAGATTTATCATTACAGCATCTGGTCCTACTAGCTGAAAAAAAAGCTATTGTTTATTACAAAAGAGAAAGTAGATTACCTATATGGTTGAACACGTTATTGTGCGTGGCTGACCAAAGTTACTTTAGTGGATGCGATTCGCAGATCTCAAGGCATCCAACTAAAACCAGGAAGATAAACTGGGCCTGCACTGTCATCCGACATTTCATTACAAGAGCAGATACAGCAACACTGACAACCATATTTCACTCCATTGTGCAAGTCAATTCTGCAGGTTAAGATTCATCAAGAAGAGTTAAAACAAGACACAGGATATCATACCCAAGAAATACAAACTTTTTTTCTCAGCACGAACCCACATATTTAGATATTATCCTTGTATCACTTTACTAATCCACATTTCCCCAACGCAAGAATAAACTCCCATAATAATGTGTCGAATTTGTCACTTAGGTTACGTCCAAAACCCCACTCTCAGAGTTACAGCTGGCTGTGATTGCATTGGGGTAGGTGGATAAAAATAAATTCCGATTTCAGCAATACTGAGCCGGGGGGCAATCCTACTATGCATACACTGTCTCCAAAAATTACATTATGTTTTCTTAACTGTGATAGTACAGTTCTGGGAAGACTGCATTAAGGATACCTAAATTATTCTGACATGCCATTTATTACACTCAATTTTATTTCTACACCATTTGACACAAAATAAGTCATGTTTATAATACAGTTTGTCATGAAAACTGCTTAGTAGGACACAAAAGAAGTAATCTTACTTGGAAAAATTCAGCAGTTGTTTGCCTTTCAGCACTAGCAGTTACAACAGAAGAGGTACCATTATTGTATAATAGTATATTTCTGTAGAGGTAAGGGATTACAGAAGAAACAAAACTCCATAGGAAAAAAGCATCATGCTGTTCCTTATCAAAGATACAAAAACAAAGCAAGTGAGGAAAACAAGTTCTGCTTTGTTGAAGGTACAACATTGACATTTGAAGCCAAGAAGAGAAAAGTCCAGAATTTCATATAAGACAGTTATCAGGTCAGTTTTAAAATGAAAAATCCATTTTATGTTTAACCCTATTCAGGTATCGTATGATAGAACAGAACAATGCATTCTAAAACTGGAATATGAGTTATATCTTACCCCTATTGGTAATATTACTTAAGTACACTACTGTCCTATTCATTCAGTAATTTACAAGTGTTAATAAAGCCCCTTAAAATCTTTTTGTTAGGTTTGTTTTATAGCTGGGAGCATAAAGGCAGAACGGTTAAACAGCCTGAATTCTAGAAACATACACAGTCCCCAAAAATCATGCCTCTAAAAATCAGGCCATAAGGGTTTTTTGTCCCCACACCACAAAGGAGGAAGTTTCAAATTCAGGGAAAAAGCTCCTGGTTTCCATTTCTCAGTTCTTAATCAGAATGAAAGACCCTTTCTTGTCTATTTTTGTCAGCCATATCTAGACAACTTTCTTTAGGCGTAAGTCTGGCTAAACTCTAACAACTCACTACCTGTTCCAACACAGATGCTGTGTCCTTACAAGTACTGATAAAAACAATTTGTATGGTCGTGAAAAGAGAGTGTGCTGACAGAGATTAAAAATAATCAAGCAAAAGAAAGAAACAGGAGGGAGAAAGTGGGTTCAGATGCAGTACCACTTAAGAAAAATAACACAGCATGTCAAGGAGTGCCATAAGCTGCTTTAGAACATGACAGTCAGCGTCTTCCAAACAAGAAAAAGGCTAACTGAAAGCAGCATCTATTTAAGACAGTAAATATGCCATTACATAATTAACCAACAGCCAAAAGCTTTACTCATTAGTTGTACAGTTTATTTAGACAAAAGCTTGCACAGTTTTGTATACAGAAATTAAAACATCTGAAATATATTAGGTTTTTTACCCTGTATATTTAACTTTGTACTTTGTTCTTGGAAAAGTGACCTTTTTTTTTTTTTCAGGATTCACGTTTCAGAAGTACATATGCTCCCATTACTGCCAGAAGAGCATACTGCAAAAGAAAACAGAGAATAAAGACTAATTATAATTTCTCTTCACAGAAGCCCTGAAATTACATTGTTCAAAGCGTGCCCTCTCCAACATTACACCTTCTAGATGAGTACACAATTATACAGTTGTGTTCCTAGAGAATTACAGGAATATTTAAAGTGATCATATTAATTATAAATAGGCATCACAACTGCATACACTTAACTTACGACATTCCTATAAATTAAATGTTTTCAAATAATTACAAATACTAAGTTCTACTGGATAACAGACAAGCTAAAATAAGCAAGAAAACACAGCTCATTTTACATTAGGTACCAAACCACAGAAACAAATTTATTAACATGTATGCTTATATGCAAGATTCTTACTACCTTTACTTGCTATTTTATAGTTTTAGATTCAAGTATGCAAAATGTCTGTATACATACCTTAAATTTTGGATAGTCATTCATTATTATAGTTACCATACCAACATAAGGCAAAAATCTGTAGTTGACAAAACAGATGAATGTAAAATTAACCCTCAAATACTACATGGAAATGTTTGAATGTTACTCAGTCTTGAATATTTTAGATAATGGATTTCAGAGAAAAAAAAAAAATCAGACAGACAGCACGAGCTTTAAAGAGAGTATGTACTTAATGAAAATTTGGGAGCAAGATCTCTCAGATTTCCCTCTCCTCCCATGCTTCATCTTGCTGCATATTATTCATAGCATTAAAAATACACATGGATCCCAGAAATGGCAAGTAAACATCACCACAATGAGGGGTACCACAAAAGCCTAACATCCTACAACACAGGTGAATCAGCTTTTCAGGGTCTCTTGTTCTGAAGCTATAAAAGCCATATAATCTAACACAGAAAGGGTTTCAAACTAATATGGAAAATATCTAAAATTAGCTTTTAACCTAGCATGAAGGGTTTAGAGGGGCACTTGCTCTGCTTCTTTTTACTTAACTTGAAGGCAGGGACAGAATCTAAAAAAATCAAGCAAATAAATATTCTTGCAAAAAAGTATTTTATACTGTTATGCAAGTTAACCCCATGACAACTTACGGAACTCTTAATTAGGCAAGAAAACACTCAAGTATGTAACGTGATACAGGAAGTCCTACTTTCCACTGGGATTGGCCTATGACGTTAATCTTGGCCTACTGGACACAACAGAACTCACATCAGGCATCTCATGCCATCGCTAAGACTCTCAGAGCCCAAACAAAACTTTGCCACAGGCTCTAAGCAAAAGCATTCCAAACAAGAACAGTGTAAAAGAATCATTTATGCCTGTCACTAATGCGTATCTGAATGAGAAAGAAAATGTTTGGGTTTTTTTCTTTAGATAAAAATTTAATCCAGTTATTTGAGAAAAATCTTTTTCATCTTAACTGGGGAAGGGAACAAAGTCAAAAGCTCAAACCTTGTGTAAAATTCCCATGGAATGTGGAAATAATTTCTTAGTAATTTCTAGCAATTACAAGGGTAAATTAGTTAATTTTGTATTTACTGGTGAATTATTTGTTAGAAGTGCCATTTTTTCAAAAAATTAATTTCCACTCTCTGCATCAGTGAGAGGACTACAGAAAGCAACTTTTCCAGGTAAAGTAGTTTTTTGAATTACTATTTTATTTAAGAAATTTTAAAAAAACCCATACCAGATCTAGTTTGTACCAACAGCAGTACTGATTTAAATTCTAAATTTTCTATTTTAGTTACAAAAAACATAGACATTTTGCATTACTTACCCTCTTGCTCTTCCAACAACATCTTTCTTCTCTAACCAGTTCTGACCTTCTTTGTACAAGCCTCTATCATCAACTTCATTATTATCACCTTTAGTCAGAAATTTGATGTTCCCATTTTCTCTAGAAGGCAATGAGGTGATAAACTAAATACCACTTAATTTAAAAACCTCAATTAACATCTACAAAGCACAATGAAGACGAAAAGTGCTCCAAGATTAGATAACAATGTTTACTTCCAGTCCTGCTTGTCCTGCTTATTTAGCAAACACCATTAAATCATTAAGATTACAGACTTTACTGACAGAGTCAATAGATTTTAACAAGAAATGTGTTTTTAGAACACTCCCAGACTGTCAATTGATGTAACCAGTTACACATGAACATGCAAGGGACATTGTCCATCCAGAGCAGGCACTAAACTTCTTCAACAAAAGCAGCATGTGCCTATCTGGGAAAAAAAAACCCAAACAACTGACCCCCAGCATTTTCAACAGAACAGAAAGTTTAACTCTGAAATACTGAATAATACCCTACTAAGGGGTGGTGGTGGTGGTGTTATTTCTGTTGTGATTTTTTTGTGTTTTGGTTGGTTGGTTGGTTGGTTTTTGGTTGGTTGGTTTTTTTTTTTTTTTAACAAATTGTGGAATAAGATCCTGTGAAGTCATCACACATTAGAGAATTAATTTAATTGAATTTGAATCGCAAGTTTCAGATGAGGTAGACCCTAAAAAAAAAAAATCTTCCCTTAGGAAAGAAAGTAGTATAATAATATAATGCTTTAGGCAATTTTCTTCTAAATTCTATACATTGTTTAACTCTTAGTAATCATATTTATGTCAAAATAAAGCTTTGTCCTCCTTTTGATGGAAATAAATATTGAAGAGCCTCTAAAGTTGCTGCAAATCTGCATCAAATTCAGTATTTTGTCACTAACACTACAATACAGTTTTGGATCACTCATTAATTGTTAAACAATACAGTGAGTTCCAGGCAAAACCTCCCTTACGTTTGATATTTATTAATGTGGCAAATAAAAAAACCCCACTTAACCAGTCTTTAAATAACACCATGTGGACAAAACATCACGTGGGGCTTTTAGGGGATCGCATGGAGAAATCCAAGCGACAGAAACGCTGCAGTAGGTGGCACGCTCCCCCCCACGGATGAACGCCTGCAGAGCTCGGAAG